GTTTTAAATATAAAACAAAACTTATTTAATCAATACTCAAATCTGTCAGTGATAAAGGATGCCTTTTTAATAAAACAATATGTTGTATTTTTTAAAAATCCATACTACTTTTACTGCCAGTAAGTTATTAGATATTTAAAAGGGAAATGGTTCTGAAACTCTTAATGTATTTTTTCATCACTTATGCTGTTTGGTCATGTTTGTAATTATATAAAATGGTTAGTTTCACTTTTGTTTACAAAGGGTTTCTCTTCCTGATTTTTATGTCCTGGTACAGTGCTACTGTGTTTAAGTTTGCAAGACTGCGTGGGAAGATCTTTCTTGCATCTAATACAAGGGGTATGTCTAGACTACATGCCTCTGTTGCCATAGGCATGTAAATTAGACTACCCGACATAGTCAGTGAAGTGGGGATTTAAATATCCCCCGCTTCATTAAAATAAAAATGACTGCTGCGCTGTGCCGGCTCAGCTGATCGTCGGCACAGCGCAGCAGTCAAAACGCGGATCGGTCAACAGGGAACGACTTTGTCGGCCACTCCTGTAAACCTCATTTCACGAGGCATAAGGGAGCGGTTGACAAAGGCATTCCCTGTCGACCTATCCGTGTCTTGACTTGCGCACTGTGTCGACGATCAGCTTAGCCGGGAAAGCGCAGCAGCCATTTTTATTTTAATTAAGACAGGGATATTTAAATCCCCGCTTCATTGACTATGTCAGCAGAGGCGTGTAGTCTAGATATACCCTAGGTGACTAGAGTAGCAGTAAATGTAATATGTACCTGGGAACACTGGAACTTAGGAAGGGGATAACAAGCTGGTGAAGCTATTTTGTATTTGCCTAAATGAAACATCTAGTGCAGGTGTGGCCAATTCGTGAGCCACATGTGGCTTTTCCCCCCCCTTAAATTGCAGTTCGTGAAGCCTCCCTTGCAGCCCTAGAAATGGCCTCCAATTCTCTGAGCTCTCTGGGGAGCTGTCCGGTGCAGCAAAGCAAAATAGTGCTGACAGGAGCATGATGTGTCCAAAAAGCCAATCTGAGGTTTTTTTAAAGGGGCAGTGTCTTTTTTGCTCGACTGAACACGGCTGGGGTTTTTTTTTGTTTGGTTGGTTGGTTGGTTTTTTTCTTAACAACATTTTCCCCCTATCTCTTTGCACTATATGCACAACTATTTTGGCCCTTTGACTGTAAGAGTTTGGCCACCCCTGATCTAGTGCAATCCTGCTACCTCCTTGCTTTCGTCAATCAACAGTTTATATTTATTAAATAGGACATCCTATTTTCATTTTTTTAATCATGAAAACATTTTTTGTAAAAATGCTAGTCCCTTTAAGAATACATCAACTAGAAACCTCATGTTGTGACAAGACGTTTGAATGGTCTTTTTTAATGTTCTGACGATACCAACGTAAGTATAAATCATCTTCAAAAGACTCCTTATTTTCTTGATGTTCTGTTCTCAGCTCCCCAGAACATGCCATCTTCTGTCTTTCTGTTAGACTGGAAGCTCGTCAAAGCAGGGACTTTCTCAATCTGTTTTGTACCACCCCAAGTACATTGTTAGCCCTTAAATAATAGTCATCTTTTCTTCCTGTCCTTGTTAAAACCAGCAATGCTGGGGGACTAGCGAGGGAATCGTGAGAAAACAAACATGCATTTTAGGCAAAATTTACATAAAATAACAAATATCAAATTACAGTAGCTTTGTAAATTCCTTCAGTGTTAAGATACATGACACAGCTGCTGGCTGCTGAAGGATCCTTGCATCCTCCCCTCAACTCTGAAAGTCTCTGTCGTGAAGGGTTGAATGGTGAGCCAGACTATGGAGGCTATGGGTGTGTAATATATACTTGTGGCAGCTAAAGGGATAACAGTAAAATGCCAAGCATTACGTGTTTGAATGGTTTAACATTTCTTTTACTTAAGTTTCCTTCTCATGTAAAGCTCCGGCTCCAGAACATACATATCATAGATCTATTCTCCAGTGTCTCTAGGGTCTATATTATGTTGGATGTGAGCAGGTGATATTATTTATTATTCTAAAACATCTCTAAAACCCAAATACCACCAGGGTGAATAGAAACTCAGCCACACCAACTCCATATGTCTTGACTTGTGGGAGACTCTATAGATACCGGTAACTGCTGAGACAAGATGGTTTCTAAATATAGACAAAAGCACAGTCCCTGCCTCAAAGAGCTAACATGCTAAATGGCTAGTTCAATATTTATTATTTTCATGTGTTTTAAATGTCAGCTTTCAAAATATTTGCAGCATGCATTTCATGTCTGAATGTTCTTATGTTATTTTTACCAACACTGTTAAAACATATCGTGTGTGTGTGTGTGTGTGTGTGTATAGGCGTTTATATATATATATATATTGAGTATCCATATAGCATATATAATATGTACAGTGCATATTATATACAAGTACAACAGCAAGTTCTGCTCTGATGTTATTTCCTGATTTGAAATTTGATGCAGTATACTAGCCCACGTGTATATCTGCTGCCCTTCTTCCTCCAGGTGGGACCACTGCAGATCAGCTGTGTCTGAAAGTGATCTTGGGTGCATAAAACGTTAATCCTTCTCACTGAACATAAATGAAGAGCCCATTGCAACTCCTTGCTAAACATTCTGCTTTAGCTCCTATACATGCTTTATTTCCATTTCTACAGTGTGGCTTTCCACTTATAGAAGCTAATGGACAAAGGAGAACCCTCCCTTACTTGTTCAGGTGGCGACCACTGTAATTGGCATCAACTCCTGCTGCTACTGTTCCTGGGAAATTTGGTGTGTACTGGGATTTTAATCTCCTCTCAACACATTTCAGTTTCCCTTTTGTGTTTTAAATCTTTTAGGATCCAAAGACGTGAGCCCATAAGTTGTTATCAACCTGACTCATCCTTTCTTTTCTACAAAATCATTCCTTTTTTGTTCTGGAAAGTCCCAAAATGCTTATTAGTGTTGTTGAAAGCCTCACATTACACTAAAAATAATAGCTCACAAAAGATGAATTAGTATTTCAGTGGAAAGTCCAGAGAAGAAGCCAAGTGCAAAACTAGTTTAAATGTTTCATAAGCCATTTGCAGAATATTTGCAATACCCCCCAGGCCCACAAATTAGGATACAAATAACAAGGGCTCTCAATCTTTAAGTGCAAACTGACTACCAGCTGGTGCCAGGAAGACTTGCTGCTCATCATTTCTCTCTCTATATACAAAAAAGTTTTTCCTGCCAGATGACAGAATGTTCCTGCCGAGCAACAGAATAACATCATCACATCATCAGCATCAACAGGCTCTCTCAGCGAAGCAAAAGCAGCCAGAGAGAGGGGGGTAGGCAAGCATAGCGAGTAAAGGTTGCAGCTCCCTAGTAATATTTTACAATTCAATGTGCTAAAAGAGTCGATTTTTCTCTGAAGTATCTGACTAGACAATAGCAAAGTTAAAACATTCATCTGTTTTCTTATGGCTGAAGACAAAATACTTGATTAGATGGATCGCTGTTCTGCTCTGGTATGGCAGCAGAGAGGATATTGGACTAGACAAACGATTAATCTGATCCAATGTGGCAGAAGTCAGAATATGGAACTTGATGGATTGTTGTTCTGCACCATGATGGCCATCTCCACGCCCTTCTGTGATTCATCTTCTCTTAGTCTGTTTTCCCACTAACCCCTCTGGCATTGACGTGTGGTGTCAGGAAGATGACTTCTGTTAAAGTCAGTATCTTTAAGACATTCTAGTACTTCGGTGTTTGAGGAGCAAGACTTTGAAAAAAAAAAGAATAGTCTCACTAAAGGAGCTAACCAGAAACTACTGTTTTTAGCCTACAAGCTTTTCTGTATGCATTTGGAGACAATTACATTCTTACTCATTGGCGCTTTGCTACAGTTTCTTGAGCTGACTTCATCTCTGCAGCCCTTTCATTCTAATTAACTTGTTTCTTCTGTCTGATTTCAAGACTCACTGAGGAATAGGATTAAGTTCAGACTTGAGAGATATTAAGAAAAAAATATAGAAGATTGTATTTTGTAGCATATAGATCCAGACTGTTCATTGTGGTATCATTCTGAACATAACAACCAATTGATCCAAGCCACTTTCTTTCCCTCCCTGAATTGGTGGGAGCTAGGCAAGCCATTACAGTAGTGACATGTACTGTCCATATTGGGGGTAACTGACAAACTATGAGACTTGGGACCAAAGCTGGATCTACCCAAAGGCCTCTTTGTACCAATGGAGCAGTACAAAGAGTCCATAAAACTGTCCTAAATGGGCAGCTAGAAGTTCCTGCTGTATGGAGAAAAGCTGCTAGAGCTGGCTTTACTCCTGCCCCATCACTAGCAAGCAGGGTCAGGTGCATGGCAGGGCCAAGGTTGGAACATATGGCATTCCAGCATTTCTTGCCAAAGAAATGACCCCTGCAACCCGCTGTTCTATGGAACAGGTGAGGAGTTAGCCCTGGGAGTTCAGGATCAAGAATGACATCTGGACTTTGGTTAGAAGAAGTCAAAAATGAGGAGTCCAGGAGGGAAAGGGAAGTATTGTTCCATGTTTGAGGATGTTCTCTTGTTTAAGAGAAGTCCAATGTCTGACTTTTAGACATTAGCTTATGGAGGCTGACACACAAGTTAAGCAGAAAAGATGGACAAGGAAGAGCCACAACTGACGTCAAAAGATACTGAGCAGAATACATTGAAAGTCATCTCTCCAATCTCCGCTGATGTTGTCCTAATATCACCATAGCATTCTCCAGCCATCAAGTGACAGAAATTTGAGTGAAAAATGTCAGCCTTTTAGGGTGGGTTGGGCTTTTAGCTTTCTTTTCTTCAGCAGTAGCAGCAGCAGCAGTAGTTTTAAAAGTTATCCCGTAACCCAAGCTTGAGCTCTCCCAAAACCATGGATGCTCCCTGTTGAACAAGTAAACAAACAAGTTCTCCTGTTGGTGGAGTTCCCTGCCCGGAGTCCTAATGGCAGCCCTTGATTTCTTGCAGACATTGATGAGTGCCACTCAAGCCCCTGTCTGAATGGAGCTACCTGCGCTGATGGCATCGACTCTTTCAAATGCTTATGCCTTCCCAGCTACGGAGGGGACCTGTGTGAGATCGGTACGGCCTACTAGCTTCAGCTAATTTTACTAACAGCTGCACCACCCAAAAAACTGACCCCCAACATTCTCCCACCAATCCCGCCCTCATCGCAATAAGCTAACTCCTAACAGCAGTTAAAATACATCTTACAGGGGAAAAGACCGAGCTGTTTGCTTACAATTATTGTTATTTTTCCATCACAGCATCTTGTTTATCCAGGAAATTCTTCTTAACTTCTAGGAGACAGTGGCATCTTTAGGGCTTCTAGGGAACCTACTGTCTTCTTGGCTTCTTGAAGAGAGAGATTACTCTCTTTCTTGTTGTTTTTGCTAAAAAAAATTGCATAAAGCACATTTGATACTGTTTGCCATAAGCACAAGCATGCTGTTGGCTCAAAGAAAACCATTCCAATCTACCTGTAATAATCCATCTGTAGTAATAGGGCACATTTTTATGGCATGTGAATCTTGTCTGCTCTTCTGGGACTTCAGTGAAAGATGGGTGAATTGAGTCATGTGACATGACCATGTTTCACTTTGTGAGGATTCTTCTATGAAGGACTTCATTCATGCTTGTGAATCTTCTCAGATTCCACCTGACGTGTGTCATTTCCTTCCAACGAATGCAGTTTTCACGGCAACAATGGCAAGCAGTGAGAATCCTTGAGGGAAAAATGAAATATCCTGTTTTTTCATCAGAATGATATTTTCTTGTGTGCACAAATATCATTTGTTTTGAGAGAGAAAACAGAAGAATATTTTACCTCAAGTCCATGAAAGTTAGCTTTTTTGACACTTTCTCCAGGAGGAAAAATGCTCCTGCCTTTCTCCACAGGGACAGAGAGAAGCAGGTTTGAAAATACTACCCATTCACCTTCTAATGGGCAATAGAAACAATATTTGATCCCCCCCCCCACTCTTTCTCCTTTTAATATGAATATATGATAGAGTCAATGGTAAAAGAAGAACTGTTAAGAATGAGTAGAGTTTGTGAGCAGGCGCTATTCAAGCTTCCTTCACTTATCTCTTCCAGTGTACCTCAGTCCTAATGTTTAGCACCTCCTACTGGTCTGGCATAGGAGCCCCACCTTAGATGAAGCAAGAGACCTCCTATAATATGGAGTATTGCTTCTAATGGCTGTATTGAAACACCACTCCCATATTTGACCCAAACCTAGTGTAATCTCTTCTCTTCATAACAGTTTGTCTATTAATGGAATCTTGACATCAATGGGTATCTTTATATTGGATTACTTTGGAATGTATGAGAGCAGTCTACTGCCCTAAATATCAGTGGAAATGCCACCTTTAAAATCCAGCCTTACCCCCAAGACAGAATGAATGAGCTACTTTTCCTTCTCTAACTTCTTTGATTCCCTAAAAACATCTATGAAGTCAGTAGCATTTTAGATAGAAATATAGAATCATGGAACACTAGGACTGGAAGGGACCTCAAAAGAAGACATCAGGTCCAATCACCTGCACTCACGGCAGGACCAGGAACCATATCCCTTCCAGATGTTTATCTAACCAGTTCTAAAATAAATCCAAAGGTGGAGATTCCACAACTTCCCTAATAATTTATTTCAGTGCTTAACCATCCTGACAGTCAGGAAGTTTTTCCTAATGTACAACCTAAACCTCCCTTGCTGCAATTTAAGCCCATTGCTTCTTGTGCTATCATCAGAGGTAAAGGGGAATAATTTTCTCCTTCCTCTTTGTAACACCCTTTTAGATACTTGAAAGCTGTTATCATATCCCCTCTCAGTCGTCTCTTTTCCAAACTAAACAAGCCCAGTTCTTTCAATCTTCCCTCATAGGTCATGTTTTCTAGACCTTTAATAATTTTTGTTGCTCTTTTCTGGACCTTCACCAATTTCTCCACATCTTTCCTGAACTGTGGTGCCCAGAACTGGACACAATACTCCAGTTGAAGCCTAATCACCACGAAGTAAAGCAGAAGAATCACTTCTCATGGCCATATACACAGTCAGTCATTCTTAAATGCCTATAAATGTGAAATCAACCTGTAGAACTCCTTGACAGAGGATGTTGTGAAGGATAAGACTATAACAGGGTTCAAAAAAGAACTAGATGAATTTATGGGCAGTAGATTCATCCATGGCTATTAGCCTCTTTGTCCCTCACCTCTGTCTGCAGAAAGCTGGGAATGAGCGATAGGAGATGGATCACTTGATGATTACCTGTTCTGTTGATTTCCTCTGGGTACCTGGCATTGGTCACTGTTGGAAGACAGGACCCTGGATTAGATGGACTTTTTGTCTGTCTGAACCAGTATGATCATTTTTATGTTCCTATGTGAAAGCTTGGAGTGAGTGCCACTTGATATTCAATTTTACCTGCTTCTTATAGACAGCTGCTCTACATATTTATGTATAGGTTATTGCTTTATAAGAAAGCCTTTTGTTTTCTGGTAGAATGTCCTAGTGAGATTGTGCATTGCGTTCCATCCTAAATCAGTGAGTGTGATAGTTTATAAAGGTCTGTGACATAACCAACCAGAAAAAGACACTTAGGCATATTATGTACTCCCTCCCGAGCTCTTGGAGATGTGGTGGACGTGACCCAGGTTTGTGAACAGCTCCTGCGCCCCAAGGTTGACCCAGTGGAGATGGTCTGTTTGGTCTGTAAAGGAAGAAGCAAAAAAAGAGAATTCAAAGGACCCACCAACCCCTTTCTATAGATATATCTATATTTCATTAAAGTGGAATATACAACGTCTTCCTTGCTTAGGGTTAGAGGGATTTGTTGAATGGTCAAAAGGAAAAATAAAACCCATGACCTGGAAGGCACAAGGAGCTGAGAAAGGATGACAGATGGATGAACTCTCTCTGCCACTGAAAGGATGCGACTAAATCTCCATCTTGTCACCATTAGATCTTCCTTCCTTTCACATCACTGATGCTCCCTTTTCTCATCAATGGGCTCATCGCATCTCCTCTTCCTCACAGTGACAGTTCTTCTCTGGCTTTGTACCTTGTCGTGGTGGTGCAGATTCTGGGTGCTAGTCAGTGGAGGCCGTGATAAGAGATGATAGGCTATAGTAAATTCAAAGACCGAAAAAGATAATCATTCCATGATTTGAGGGCAACTGCCTGCAATGTAAGTGTCTATTTGAAGGAGATTGTTTTATCTTAGATTGGACATTAGGAAAAATGTCCTAACTGTCAGGGTGGTTAAGCACTGGAATAAATTGCCTAGGAAGGTTGTGGGATCTCCATCATTGGAACTGTTTAAAAGCAGGTTAGACAAACACCTGTCAGGGAAGGTCTAGATGGTGCTTGGTCCTGCCATGAGTGCAGGGGACTGGACTCGATGACTTCTTGAGGTCCCTTCCCATCCTATGAATCTATGAATCTGTCATCACAAGAGCATCTGCCCCAACGATTTCTGTGTTTGTCCCTGTTTCTTCTTGGTTTTCAGAAGGTATTTGTATGCGTTTGTTAACGGCAGAGAACAAAGGATTCCCCAAAATCCTTTCTTTTCTTTATTCCGTTGCATCTGCTCAGCCCTTTTCCATTTTTAAAAAGGATTTGGTTCTACTTTTATGTATTTTCTGCCTTACATCCCTTGCTTACCTTTTCTCCTCAGTCCCCAAGCCCTGGACAGCTAGTCTCATAGTCCCTGTGCCCTGTGAATCAGTTTCCAGAGTTTCTGTGGCCCCAATTATTCATTTCCAGGACCCACACTTCCTGATGTAGGACTCAGCTACCATCTGATGCCCTTTCCTGGTATCTGTTCCTTGTAGAGAATCTCCCATATGCATCCTCTCCACATAAGAGCTAGCATTTCTGTTCAAAAGAAACTACCCCCCTCCATTATTAAAACAAATTAAAATAGCTAACTTCTCTGAGGTGAAGAGGGTAGGCACTAACTTCCCTTTTAATGACTTTACCTTTCAATCCTTGACCCCAGTCATAATGTAAAAAATCAAATATTTTGTGCCTTTAATTTTCTTTGATGGCATTTCTCAGTAATCACTAGCAATAACCACTTAAAGAGGTGATCGATTTTTGCTCTTTTCCTAATCCTTTTTTTAAATATTTTCTTTAGTGGTTGTTTTTTTCTGTCTCCCATATGGTAAGTCCTGCCCCACGTTGCTTTTCTGTGATCTCACCGGGTTGCTTATTCCATCTGAGAAGACTCAGAATAGTGATTGTATCCCACTGAATCTGAACTGTGACCTCTCCTTCCCCTCCCTCCCATCTTTGATGCATAAACACTGATTGTGGGGAGCAAAATACAGGTTTCAAAGATGAAAGCTGCTCCCCAAGGTGAACAAAATCAGCAGGACAGCCCTGGGGGGGGAAAGTGGTGTAATCTGAGGGTATTTCTCAAATGTAGAGTTCTGGAACCTGATTGGGAATTTGAAATATTCAGGAATTTATCTGTCAAATTTTTCAGTAGTGCCTATCTCCACTTCTACCACAGGGTCTTTAGCCTACATCCCCTCCATAAACTATTCCTTGGTTGCCTTCTGATCATTTTACCTTGGAGACTATAACATACAAAAATATCAAGGTTTATTCTTTAGTGGGTGTGACCATGTGTGTATTTTTGTTCCATGAATGCTTGGTCAACCGAGAGGTGAGTTGGATGGCACTCTGCTCTGACACATGCAGTTCCCTTTCATTCCCTTCTTGTGTGTTTCAGACCTGGAGGATTGTGATGAGGGCTGGACCAAGTTCCAGGGCCATTGTTACAAGCACTTTGAACAGAGAGAGACATGGGTGGAAGCTGAGACCCGGTGCCGGGAACATCAATCCCATCTGAGCAGTATCATCACTCCAGAAGAACAAGAGTTTGTGAACAGTGAGTGCTGGGGTTAATGGCTAGGATCTGAGGGAGGATGGGCAAAGATCAAGCTGACTATTTAGGCCTCAAAAAGTCCACTGAACTTGCTGGGTGAATTCCACTGACTCTCACAGTTCTTGTCAATCGAGGCCTGTCAACCTAAAGGAGAGGAGGAATCGTCAGTATCTGGGGCCATATTGGGAAACAAACCCGGTTCATTCCATAGATCTGTGGCTCATACAGACTTGCTATGGTATCCCATTGCCACATTAGCTGCTTCCCAAGATGTTTGCACCTGTTGGCATGTTCATACCAATGCAGAGGTTTGTGGGGAGCAGGATATTGGAAGATGTAGGTGTTGCTGAGGGGTGGGTGCCTGGTGACTTGTTGAGAGGAGGGGAAAGGATGGGAGTGTGAGAGAGCTGGGAGGAAGGTCTTTGGGGAGTGGGAAGGTGTGACATAGGTGGGAGAGGAAAGGCAGGGTGTTAAGGAGTGGGAGTCTGAGGTCGGGGAGGGGAACTGGCAGGAGGGCAAGGCACTAGGAGCAGAGGGCCTGAAGTGGGGAGGGATCTCGGTGGGGGTGAGGCATTTGTGGGTTGAAGGCCTGAGGGAGGGGAGGGGGCTTGATGAGGTGAGGCATGTGGAGCCCAAGGGCCTGAGGCAGGGATGGGGGTTTGGCAGGGGTGAGGCATTTAGGGGTCAAGGGCCTGAGGTGGGGGAGGGGATCTTGGCAGGAACAAGGCATGTCTGGAGTGGGACCCTGAGGGGGGGGAATGGGGCTTGACAGTGGGTTTGAGCATTGGGAGCCTGTGGTAAGGAGAGGGGCTTGGTGAGGATGGGGCATGTGGGAGTCTGAGGCAGGATGGGGGGAATGGGAGCAGGGGTGGGGAACTTGGCATGGGCAGGGCATGTGAGGAGTGGGACTCTGAGATGGGGTGTGTGGGGAGCAGTTCACACCAGCCAGCAGAAGGATCCAAGGGGAGCGCTTCTCCCCCCCACCCGCGGCACTGGTGCCACTGTGCCCTTGGTGGCCCAGAGGAAGAAAGGCAGGGAAAAGTCCTGCTGGCTGTGGGAAACTCTGCAGGGCTGGTCCATGGGGCTGCCCAGTCCTGGCTGTTCTGCCTCCCACCTCTCCAATCTTGGTAGAAATAGCAAGGCCCGGGAGTGGGCTGGGGTGGAAGCAGCATCTTTCTTACACTGGAGCCAGTGAGACTGCACCCCAGGACTCCAAATAGCTCCAGACCAGAGGGGGAGCTGGTCTCCTCTGAGCTGGTGCAGTGAGGAGGTGCTGGAGAAGTCTGCTCACTCCGGGAGAAGAAGGAATAACCCTCCCATTTTTCTGGAGGAGAGGGAGCTGAGAGCTGAGATGAGAGTACACCCCATGGATCGACTTGGAGTGGGATCGTCATGCAGCCGGGGTGGGGAGCAGAACTCTGTCCAACCAAGTTTCAGTCTAAGGGGATTAGAACTGGTGAAACTTCTACTATGGTGCACAGTCTTGTCCAGGATGCCTGGGGACTTCCCTTATGCCAAAACCAACCAGAATGCCAGTGTGCCATTCTCTGGCCCCATTAGTGAGCGAGGGAGATATGAGGGCCTGCAGGCATGTGGGAAAAGTGGCCCAGTTTGGACCCAACTGGGGTTTTATGTTGGGGCACCAAGATGCAACATTTCCCTTCTTGCTGTGCCCTTCTGCATCCTTGCTTCTGAAGGGGTGATAGACCACAAAGTAAGACCTGCCCTTCGTCCGCACTAGGATAATAACATCTCTAGTCGGAGTAGCCACCTGGCAGCCCATGGCAAGGGTACTACAGGAGACTTTCATGAGATTAATAAGGCAAACTAGAGCCACCTGTACAGTGACACTCCAGAGCAGCGTTTCTCAACCAGTGGTATAAGTACCCTTAGGGGTACTCAAGAGAAATCTGGGAGGTACGTCAACACAACTGAAATTTGGAGAATCTGACTTTTTGTTTTAAGTTTTACAGCACTTTATTATTTTTGTACTTTTTACACCCAAAAATTTCATCGCCCGCCCGGCTACGATGAAGTTGTTTAAACAAATGTGTTGCGACGGTAGAAAAAAATGTTGTCTGTCTGAAAACTGTAGGTACTGGGGGTACTTATAATTTTTTTTGTAAAGGGGTACTTTATAAAAAAAGGTTGAGAAACACTGCTCCAGAGCACCGCCAGCTTAGGCACTCTCAGTTCCTAGCTGAGGGAGATTTATCCACCGCTCCTTTAACTGATCTGACTTCATCATTCAGAGCCACCCTTTGTCAAACAACCATGATACAGACCTGTCACTATGATGTTCCAATCCTTGGCAGAACCCAGGGTGCCTCTGTTGCGTCTCCTGCCACTAGCGTGGGTGAGGTGAATGGTGGTGGAACTCCCTTCCCCATTCCTTACTCTTCTCTCCATCTTTCTTTTTCAGACTACGCACAGGATTACCAGTGGATTGGACTCAGTGATAGGGCCATTGAACATGACTTCCGCTGGTCCGATGGAAACTCCCTCGTGAGTTGTGTGTGGGGATGGGGGCATTTCTTCACTGAGAGTCATTTCAGGAAAGCACCACCTTTTCCCATGCCCACTTTAACTTTTTGTGCTGTGGTATATGGTCATGAAGCTGTTGTCTGGGGACTGGATGTTAGAGTCATTGGAGTGAGGCAACTGGGACACGCACTGATTGGAGTCAGTTATGAGCTATTTTGCAGAGGGAGGGACCAACGTTCCTTCTCATTTTTTCCATCCATGTGTGGAATAAATTGTGTTAGATGCACCAAGGCATGTGCAAATATGCACCACTTGTAGAAACACATGCTACCGGTTGTGGGTGTTTTGCTAATCATCTGGGTAGTATCTGAATCTCTCCTGGGTGGCTGCTTAAGCTCACAGCTTATAGGGAACACTGGGACCATCCCGTTCAGTGTTTGCACAGTATGAAAGCTGAAGAGAATAAGGAAAATGTCTCTGTAACTTAGAGGAAGGGCTTCTCATCTCTTCACAGCAATATGAGAACTGGAGGCCCAACCAGCCCGACAACTTCTTTGCGGCAGGAGAGGACTGTGTGGTGATGATCTGGCATGAGCAAGGAGAGTGGAACGATGTCCCATGCAACTATCACCTCCCTTTCACGTGCAAGAAAGGAACAGGTGAGCTATGGCGCTCCTTGTTTTTGGGTGCGGGTCCATATCCAGGCTTAGGCTGCAGCTCTTAAATCTGTAGCACAAGAGCAGCTAAATTTTACACTACCAAGGGTTTCATCAGCATCTTGCCAGGATGTAAAGGGCTTCAGTAGAGTACTTAGCAAAGCCCTTCCTCCTTGATACGTAGGGGCAGCTTACGAGATGACTAGGCCCGGAAAGCAGTGTGACTTCTGCTTCGATAAAGGTGGAACATTGCAAGCTGGGATACTTACCCTCCATGGAGTTCACAGAGGCACTGCAGGACTTGGTGGACCATACTTTAGTTATCGCTTGGCTCTAACAGGAGTAAACACCTGGCTGTGAACCCAGGAAACCTCACCCATTCCTTGGGCAGAACCTTAATTTTTGCAGAGTGACCCCGCTTAAGAGATTAGTACAGGAAATGGAGACAAATCCCACATGGATTTGAAACAGCAAAAGGGATTTATGGAAGCAGAATTAGGATTTGACCAGGATCCCCAGTACCAACACCTCTCAAGTCTTGAAGAAAAGTGCTGTAAAATTTTTAATAAACACGCATGGTCAGGACCTTGGCTTTATGTGGTATGATGGTATTTCCAGCAGCACCACATCCCTTAGCATTGTACAAAAATTAAGGCCATTGAGTCCAGACTGCCTGAGGATGGAGAGCACCGTCTACTGAGACACCCACCCATCTCTGCAGCACACCACTGTCTAGAATCGCCTGTGACTTCGTACTCCCCAGCCCTGCATTGGGGTGTTTGAGTCCGTGCTGATTCTGGGTCACTCTCACTGCTCTTTTGATACACCTTGGAGGTCTCCGGTCCAAGCATTGATCTCGTCCAGCCCTGGATCAAGCTGCAGAGGTGGTGTGATTGCAGGAAGATGATGGAGTATGGGAAGTGCCCTTTCCTAGCTCACTTTCTTCTTCAAGCCATCCACTCCCATCCACCCACACCCCCAGTGGCACAGAAACAACAAAAGCCTTCCTGACAGCCACTTCCTTGTGCCTGACCCTCACTATGGCCCTGCCTTTCCAGAGGGGAGGGATGGAACCCTTTGGAAGGTTGTTGCTAAGTTTCCCAGCCTGTCGCAGAATTTCAATATCCCCCCGATTAAATTTCCAAAACAGAAGTAACCGCAGCAGAATCTGAAAAGGAGTTTGGTTTGTAATTAACTGGCTTTTATTTAGGGCCTCCGTCTCTAGTCCCCCAAACAAAGGAAATGATCCCTCCTTTGTTTGCTGCTTCCGTGGGCCCCACGTCTGGCTGACAGATGTGGCAATACAGCAAGCCAGGCCTAGGCAAGGGCAGGCACTTAGCAACGCTGGCATCAAGTACTGGCATGTAATAGATGCCCAACAGAGCTCCAGTGTAGAATCCCCTTCCCTGTCTGGATCCAAGGCATCCGCAGGGAGCTGGCCATGTGCTTTGCACTGCAGCCAGGTGTGCTTGTCAGCCGAGCAACGCGGAGGCCTCTGCTGTGGCTGCAGTGAATCAAACAGGCTGATGTTTTACCTGTGTCTCTGAGATAATACACACTCAGGGTTCCCACCACTCACGTGCCACATGGAGCAGCTCATACTTCACCCCGTGCAGCACAGAAGCACTGAGCAGCACACTAGCCAGTCAGCCTATTCCTGGTGGGGTGAGAAATGATCCCTGTATATGCAGCTGCCCCTTTCCCCCCCAGAAAGGACTGCGTTTCAGTGGTAGGTGAAGCAGTCCTTTTATGTACAGCCTGTAACCCACTTTGGGATCCCCTGGGAGAAACTGCACCAGGGAGCTGTAGTTGAATGGTTCTTATTCTAGGGAGAGTGTGTGAATGTGAGCAGCATGGTTAGACTCGAGCTGCTTGGTGGACAGCCCGCTTTGGCCCATTGCCTAGCAGGGGCACCTTGAGGTTGGAGCCTCCAGTTGCTCATTGTCTTGCTTGCCTGTGTCAGTTGCCTGCGGGGACCCACCTGTGGTCGAGAACGCCAGGACCTTTGGAAGGAAGAAGGACCGATATGAAATAAACTCCATGGTGCGGTACCAGTGTAACCAGGGCTACGTACAACGCCACGTGCCCACGATTCGGTGCCAGCCCAATGGCCACTGGGAGGAACCACGGATAGCCTGCATAGATCGTACGTATTGTTCTCCCTGCCTGCTCTTTGCACCATGGCCCTCTGAGTCTCCCGCGTGACACTTAGCCCAAGGCCAAGCTCTGGGAGTCCATGGGTGGATTCCTGGAAACAATCCACACCAGTGGTCCCCAATGCGGTGCCTGCGGGCGCCATGGCGCCCACCGGGCCATTTCTGTGCGCCTGCGGAGTGATCAGGGCCAGCCCCGCCCCCAGGCACGTGGTGCATGGGTGGTGCCGGCCCCAAGCACGCAGTGTATGAGTGGCCCCGCCCCTGGGTGCACAGCGCAAGGGCGGTGCCAGCTCCGGGCGCGCGGCATATGCGTGGTGCCGGCCCCTGGGTGCGCAGCACATGGACGTCCCCACCCATGGGCGCATGGTACATGGGCTGTGCCAGCCCCGGGCATGTGGGGTATGAGCATCCCCGCCCCGGGTATGTGGCATTGCCGGCCCCTGGGTGCGCAGCACATGGACGTCCCCACCCATGGGCGCATGGTACATGGGCTGTGCCAGCCCCGGGCATGTGGGGTATGAGCATCCCCGCCCCGGGTATGTGGCATAGGAGCGGCGCCGGCCCCAGGCGCGCAGTGCATGGGGGCGCGTGCACGGCCCCAGCCCCGGGTGCCTGTGTGGCCTCGCCCCCAGGCGCATGTGCGTCCCGGCCCCTGGGTGCCCAGCGCGTGAGTGGCCCCGCCGCCGGGCGCACGGCAGCCCCAAAAGGTTGGGGACCACTGATCCACACTCTACAATGCAGGGCAGGGTGGCCGACAGACTTTGCTGGGCTTTGGGAAAGGTGGGAGGAGATAGCTCTAGACCCCTGCAAGGGGTGGGACCTTGGGCAAAAGGGTTGTGGCTGGGGGCTTGCCGCCCCAAGTCAGCCCTTCAGCACTGCCCAGTGCATGCTGCCCAGTGCTCCAACAGCAATTTAAAGGGCTTAGGGCTCTGGCCACTGCCATTGCTTCTATAGTGGTGGCTGGGAGCCTGGGGCCCTTTTAAATCTCTGAGGCCTCAGGGCCGCTGCCATCTTTGCACACCCACTGCCATTGGTGGGGCCTGAATTGAAAAGGCAGCCTAACCAGGGAGAGTGCAAATTTACCCCCCCCCCCCCCCCGCCCAGATGTAGGACTGATGGCTTCTGGAGGGAGTTGCCTCCATTTCTTTTTGTCTGGAGGGACTTGAAGGACATGGAGCAAAGAGGTGGGATGGTGGAGAGCCAAAGTGCAGGAGGAAGGGTGATATATATGGCTCCAGGACAGAGGTGTCCTCCACCCACTCTCTCATCCACGGAAGATACAGGTTTGCTGTCACCCAGACTAGTGGAAAGGGCTGTTTAGCCTGTGCCAGAAAGTCAAGATTGTTCTTTGTCTCAGTTAAAACTCCTGCGTTACCAGGATTATTGGTGCTGGTATTTCCCAGGTGGGTCTGGACCACGGGGACCAGCTGGAAACACAGCCTTGACTCTTCCAAGTCAGTGCAGCCGCCAATGGTCTGAAAGCTTCTGCCTAGTCAAAATGTGCTGGCTTCTCTGAGCCCAGGGATCCTTATAGCTGTCGAGGAAGATGGGGGACAGCTCATGGGGAGGGGAGGAGAAGCAGCTAAAATGGATCTACCAGGATTCCCATGGAGGGAGAAATCTGCACGTGGCGGGGGTTGAGGGAAGAAGATTAAATGGTTTGTTATGGCAATATCTGCGGGGAGTTAGGGTGCCACCTTAAAGGGCACCCTAAGACCTCACTGAGACTCAGTTTAGGCCTGTCTACCCAATGTGGTCCCTGTGTATCCCACTCCCGCAGTGAGGCTCTGAACAGAAGCAGGAAACATAAAATTCCAAGGAAGGGTTAGTCCAAGAGCCAGGCAACCAGGGGTCTTTGTCCCCTCTTCTCCTGGCTTGTTCCCTCCCAAGCATCTAAACAACAGCAACCAACACACCCAGGAAGTATGACCAAGCCATTCTGTTCAGTCCCCTGCCCGGGTGCTACAGGACCCCTCATTCACTGGCTAATCTGAGCCTGGGTTTAATTTGATCTAAAGCCTGCAAAAAACAAATCATTTTAATCAGAACAACTCAGTTGCCTCCCTCAGTTGTGATCTAGTTAGGTGACTCCAAGGTAAATCAAAGTGTTGCTAACTAAAGTTGCTACTGAATTCAGAAGCAAGGGGGGAAAAATGGACCAGGAGATAAGTGAAATACAACTGCAGGTAAACACTGTATTAGTCAGCCTTGGCTCCTGACTCCCCTTGGCACTGCACATGTTGCACCATGTTCCTAAGGCCCATAGGCGCTTATCCACTGCTGGTGCCAATCAAGCCAAGAGGAAGGGTCTGAACTCAGGGACAGATGCATGAAAGGAAGGTCTTTGTTCCTAACTAGCCCATCTGTGCTCACTGCTCATTCCCCACTGATGTCATATTTGCCCCTACGGCAACCTGCTGAGCTATCCTGAGTAGAAGGCTCCACATGTAGGTGGGGAGGCACCGCTCTGTGAGCTGTATTCACAGCCATCTGCCCCTGTGATAAATGAGATCACTGCTGGGGGTGGGAAGAAACTCTCCCACTACACGTAACACTAATTCATTTTCCTCTTGTAGCCTCTTCTATCAGAGGTGCTCAAAGTCTCCCCGACTCCACCCCATGGGTTAAGTTGGAATTAGCCTCATTTTACAGATGGGAAGACTGAGGCACAGACAGGGGACGGGATGTGCCCAGTGCCACACTGTGCAGCTGTACAATGGACAGACCTTAGAGCTCCTGTCTCCCTAAGCAAAGTCTTTGGGTGCATTATGGGTGCTTCTGGGGGCGATCTCATTCCTTGCTGGGCCAGTGGTCTGGGCTGTGCTGGCTGCTTCTATGCTTGTCTGCTCACAAGGAGAGGGAAGAAATACACAGCGTATTGGACAGACAGCAGCCCAGTTGTCTCTGAATAGGATGCTTTTCAACAGGCTCCCAGGAGGCACCTGACTCTCTTTAAATTCGGTGTTTGCGGGGGGACAGGGGCCATCACAAAGTGCACTGAAAAAGCTCCACTGATTTCTCCGGTCCCGGCGCGCCAGAGGCAAGAGAAGGCCTGATTGTCTGGTGGCGAGCGGGCTGGCGCCACAGCACACTCTGCCCGGATGGTCAGAGGCAGAGCTTGCATAGAAGCCCCTGCTGTGTTTTTCCAGGGAGCGTGAGGCCTGGGGTGAGCCAGCTAAGGACAAGCAGGGGCTCTGTAACTTTCTCCCAGTAACAAGCTGCCTTTTCTTCTCCTCCTCCTCCCGCAGCCTCCATCTACAAACGCAGACTACACAAGAGGAGCCCAAGGAATCGGTCAAGACCCAATGGCAGAGAGGCACAGACACCCACCCATTAGAGAGGGGAGCGAGAGATTTTTACCAAAATTATATTAGCAGAGTCAGTGTCTTCTTCTTGATGTTGTTGCTTTTTGTCATATAAGGAAAAAAATATATTAAAGAAAAACTCCACCTTTGTGTATATATATCAAAAACAAACCAACCTCAGCACACCAAAGCACCGTGAATTCGATTCCAGCATTTTTACTAACCGTCCGGTTCCAAACACCTTTGTGCCTTTGGGGATGGGGTGGGAGGGTTGCAGAGGGCAGCGGGGGGTTAAGTTAAATAATAAAGAAGATTATTTTTTCCTGATTTTATCCACGAACAATGTAATTATTTCTGTTATTTAATCGCTGGGGTGGACGCCACCTCTGTTTTATTTTAAAGAATCCTTCCACTGCTGCAGTACCGTCCGGTTCCAAACACCTTTGTGCCTTTGGGGATGGGGTGGGAGGGTTGCAGAGGGCAGCGGGGGGTTAAGTTAAATAATAAAGAAGATTATTTTTTCCTGATTTTATCCACGAACAATGTAATTATTTCTGTTATTTAATCGCTGGGGTGGACGCCACCTCTGTTTTATTTTAAAGAATCCTTCCACTGCTGCAGTACTGCGGGAGAGTGGGGGGGGGCCGTCTGTAGTTGTGAAGTGTTGCTGAATGTATGAGAGGGGCAAGTAAAGTCGGGGGAATGGAAGGGAGTGAGAAAGATGGACGAGGGGGGAGGAAAGCTAAAAATCTGGGCCCAGATGCCTCTTGGTTTTGGCCCCTCCCCTCTCTCCCGCCGCTGGTTCCTAGATGCCGAGTCTCCCCAGGCCCCATGGCGAAGCAGCTCCCATCCTGTGATGGCACGCTCTTTCTGGGGGACCGTGCGGGGCACCAGGGTTCCCTGCACCTATTTATATTTTCAAAACATGAAGCTGAGAAATGATAGTAAAGAAAAATTGGAATAGTCTTGGGGGGGAGGGGTAATTTAATGTCTTAGCCAAAATCTCCGGGATGCTGGTAGGAGCTTATGTGTGCATAGCCTGAATTGTGCTTTCAGTCATGACAAGGGGTGGGGAGACTCAGTCTGGGAAGGGGCAGGGGAGCTTTGAGATTTTCTTCTTGTAAAAAGAAAAAAAAAAACCAAACTTTTTTTATTATAAGTCTTGTGCCTAAAATGAGACCCTGACACACGGCAGTGCCTGCTGCTGTCAGCGCTATTGTGAAACCTGGACAATAAAACTGGTTGTATTTTATTCTTCCTGTTACCTGATGGACTGCGTGTAGGTGACCATGTGGTTGTGTGTCACAGCGTGTTTGTGTGCGTGTTGCCAAGCGTGTGCTTATGAAATGGTGTGTGTGTGTGTGTGTGTGTGTGTGTGTGTGTGTGTGCTTGCACATGCGCCAGGAAAGCCCCATGTAAATCAAGAAGCCCCTTCCGTGATTTACCCACACTGGATGGGAGTCAGATCCAGCCCCCATCTCCAGAGCCTGACTCTTTAGTTCAGGCTGCAAGGCCAGTGGTTTTAGCGCTAAAGTTCCCACTGTTCCATGCCCTGATGCTGGTCACAATGGCATCCATCACTCAGGCACCTGGGAGTCTGGCTGTGTGACCGCTCTGTGTGCATGCGGATGCATATCTGTGGGTGCCATGTGCACACATGCAGCTGGGGTTGAGTGAGCAGGGGTCCGTCCCTTCCCCAGGTGAGCGAGTGTATGAGTGGAAGCAAGCAACATGCCTTAAAACCCCAAGCAAAAGGTGCCTCCCTGATCAGGCCAGGCTGTATGTTTGCAGCAATGCAAATGAGCCGCCCATAAGTCTTTTGAGACCAAACTGGTGGTGACATGAATTCCTGCTAGAGCTGCTCCTCCAAACCGCTCTGGAAGTCTCCGGTCACCTATGGAGCAGGAAAGTTTATAATGCTCAGGGCAGCATTGTCTAGAACAGGAGTGGGGACCCGAAGGCCCAGGGGTCCCCAGCTTGTGTGAATTCAGCCCCCACAGCTTGCCCTTCCCCTAGCATCAGGGAGCGGTACTGGCTCTCCAGCCCTGCAGCCCCACCAATCTCTCCCATCTGGAGTGCCCCAAGCCTCGTGGTCTGCAGCCAGGCAAACCAGGTCCAGATCTGACCCATGGGCTGTGCCCAGTGGGCTCCGGCATCCCCCCACACGCAGACCTCGCACCACCCTTCCCACCCAGACCCCACCTCCATTCTGTTCCTGCACCCTCCCACCAGCCTAGACCCACACGTCAAGCCTGCTTCCCAGTAGCTCTCCCTCCCCCACACTGACCCCCCCTCAGTTTTGGCCCCACCCCAGAGTTTGGGAGGGGCACAAAAATCTACCCCCTAGGCTCCGGCATGTGAGGGGAATGTGGGCAGCATCCTTCTCCTTCTCAGTTGCAGACCACGTCAGTGAGGTGGAGGTTTTGGGCGGGGGGGTGTTTTTCGTTTTGGGGGGTTTTTTTCTTCTTGCTTTTGTGTGGCCCCCCCCAACTGATTTTTCTGTGGGTTAGTGCCCCCCAACCCAAAAGTTTCTAGGATATAGCGCAGACTCTAGGAAGAGAGTCTTTCTGTAGCTCTCTATCACCAACATGTCGCCTTGGGTTCTCTTGCTCTGAGGGGGCATCCAGAGCTGGGGAAACGTGCTTTCCGCAGAGTGGGGCCTGTGGGGAAGCATGAAATGGTGATTCATGCTACGTCTCCACATGCATGCTGCCCCCTGCACTGGGGAGCTCTTAGGGTTAACTCTGCTATTACAGAACTGTGTTGGGAGCAGCCTTCTTATCCAGGGCAGCAGCAGGTCTCAGCATCCCCCAGCCTGACTTGCCAATGCAAATAGGAATCTGGGGGCCAGACCTAGGTCCTTAGGTCACAGCAGATGAGCTAAAGAAGCACCCGCTCGGCTTCTGGGCATAACCAGTCGCAGGTAGTTTCCCTCACCCCAACATGACACAGCAGCCCTCTACTGGAATCCACCCCACCATGCTATTTCACAGGCTCCCTACCCCCCCTTTCCTTGCCTTGCCCTCCTGTTCATGATCCTGCAGACCCCTTTCATTCCACTCCTTTAGGTTACTCAAAGGATAAGAACCTAATACTCCTCTGGTAGCCACAGTCAGTGCTCCCTGTAAGCTGTGCACTTGGGCAGCCACCCAGGAGAGATTCAAATGCTGCCCAGCTGACAAGCAGAACTCCTGCAGCTGGCAGCATGTGTTTCAATTGGTAGTACACATCCCCTATGCCTTGGTGCACATTACAAAATTATTCTGTGCATGGGTGGAAAAAATTAGAGGCAACATTGGCCACTGCCACTGCTCCCAGAAAAAACTAATAATGTCAAAGTATAAAGCCAGCTTGCTGTACATCTAATACCTCATTTACATCAAAAGCTAAGTATGGGACAATGCCAGTCCATTCAATTAGCCTCATTAGTACCAGCATTACCATTGACAGGTAATTTTTTTTTCTTACCTTCCTTTTCTGGTATAAATTCTGGGTTCGTATTATTTCCATTCCAGCTTCCAGCTCATCTGAAGAAGTGGATTTTGCCCATGAAAGCTCATGAAACTATATTTTTGTTAATCTCTAAGGGCACGTCTACACAGCAGGGCAAAACTCAAATTAAGATATGCATCTTCAGCTACGTCAATTGCTTCCCTGCCTCCTCGTAAAATGAGGGTTACAGAAGTTGGAGTAAGGAGCTCGATATTATTTCGAAACAATGGCGTGCACGTTGGTTATTCCAAAATAATGCTGCTGTGTAGATGTACCCCAAGGTGCCACTGGACTATTCATTATTTTTAAAGCATTCAATGCACTTTTACTACAAGAAACAAGGCAGTGGCACATGCCCAGCCAGCTCTCTGCCAGCCACCAGCACATCATCTATGAGTCATTGTTTGGGAACCCCCCACTCCCTTCTGTGCTCTCGCCTGAAGGCAGCCATACCAATCACCTACCATAAAGAAGTTCCTGCATTGTCAAGCTCAAGCCACAACACTCAGCATTTCCTTCCTGGCCAGTGCTGGCTGCCAGCATTTCATTAGCCCTAATTAGAGCAACAGCTTCAGAGGGAAGTCAAGTTAGTCTGTAACTGAAAAAACTTAAAAACCAACAAATAGTCTTTCAGCACCTTAGAGATTAACAAAACATGTAGATGGCATCATGAGCTTTCGTGGGCACAACCCACTTCTTGAAGAAGCCCTCCAGCTTCTTTACTTGAAGTGAGTTGTGTCCACAAAAGCTCATGATACCATCTACATCAGGGCTGCTCAACTTTGGAAGCTCTGGGGGCCACAATGATACTCACAGCACATGCCAAGAGTCACAACTTCAGTGTAGTTGCATATACATGCAAATATATACAAATAGCTTCTTTCACACTGACAGGCATGAATACAAAGATTAAGGCAAGACTACACAACACGCAGGCCCCATTTGAGTCAGTTCTGCTGATATTAATAAAATGCAATATTTACTCAATTTCCACCCCTATGACATCACTTTTAATGCGCAGTGACAGTCCAGGAATTTAACTACTAATACACATATCAACACAAGACCATTATAATGACTACTTTTTTGTTTTGGCTCCCACCTGTGGGCCACAAACAAATGGGCTGGCCCACAGGCTGCGAGTTGAGTAGCCCTGATCTACATTTTTTTCAGTCTCTAAAGTGCTGCAAGACTAATAGATCAACAGCTGATGAGGCTGCAAATACTGAGATGCCCCGCTCTTAGGCCTGCACTGCTGAACTTGTACTCAGCATGTCAGGTGCTTTGGGAGCCCACAGCTGAGACAAATGCCAACACATTGCAGCAGGAGACAGAGGCAAATCAGAGGCTTGCTTGGGTAAGTCAAGGGCGCTTAGCCCATGACACCAATGCTATTTTAAAGGCATGGGAGAACCCCACCGTGCCAATGTGGGGAGGCACCAGCACACTGCATTGGGGAATTTGTTTGGAAAATCTCCTTATTCTTTAAAAAGATCGAAAGTTGGGAGGAAGGGACACTGCTCTGCTGTCAGGGGCATTAGCAGGTAATGCAGTTAGAAGCTCAGCAGGCTTCCAACTTACCCCCATGCCCATTTCATCCCCTCACAGCTACTTTACTCCCCCAAACACAACAGTTGATGGTTCTCTACCCAGACCCGCAGCTCTTCGGCCTGCTCTTTCACTCCTGTCGTTTTCTCTGCCCCA